CAAAAAGAATGATTGAAGCATTTATTCCCCTCCTTCAGCTCTCTAATTCCCCAAGAATTGTTAATGTCGCTTCTTTCTTGGGGAAGTTAAAGGTAATGAAATCATAACTGTATATATCATAATATGTGTACCCTCTGAATTATGTTGAGGTTAACTTCTATATACCGATAGTAGAAATGAACTGTTTGGGTTGTATTTGGGCTGGTCAAGATAGACTGACTCATTAAATGAGTCATTGTCCAATTCTGCCTAAAGTTCACTTGGGTTAAGATGGATTGGGTCACAATAATTGTAACCCAACTCGTCCATGTTGACCCAAATCTTTGCAATAACCTCAACTTTTAAATAAACATTATAAAATATTCTCACATATATAACAATAATTTTTATTTTTATTCGTAAATATCATTCTGGAATGGTTTATGATGATGATTTTTGTTTCTTTTTCTCCTGTTGATTCTTGTCTTATATTTTGAAATAAATGTCAATTCATGCCTAATAGTAAAAGTAGAAAAATAGTAAAAGTAGTAAATCGCTACTGAAAATAAATGGGCTTAGTTGGGTTGTACCCAAACTTAGCCCATCGTTAAAGTAGCTCATGCTCAACCCACTAAAACCTGACGGGTTGGGCGGATCAAATGGGTTTGGGCTACTTTTACCGCCTCTACTCCTAACCGTTTTCCGCTATTCTACAGCTATTGTGTAACGAATGGGCTATAGGAATGCTAAGTGATGCTAAAAGCCTGACAGAAGAAAGGGTGGATGAAGTGTTAAATGAATTTCTCAAAGATTTTAAAGAGAAATCAATAGAAGCCAAAGGATGGCCAACTTACTTCTCAGCTTACAAAGTCTCTAAAGCATCCCTGATTGCTTACACAAGGGTTTTAGCAACGAAATATCCGAATTTTCGGATAAATTGTGTGTGTCCTGGCTTTTGCAAAACAGATGTGAACTGCAATACTGGGAGCTTAAGTGCTGAAGAAGGTGCTGAAAGCTTGGTGAACTTTGTTCTTTCCATAAAAGTTAAGAGCTGAGAGACCACTTATGACTAACGTGTGGCACAAAGAACTTCCATTTAAGATATCTTTCATGACATGGAGTGTAATTCATAAGAAAGTGCCCACAGATGACATAATTTCTAGATTTGGAATTACAGGGCCACCTAGGTGTTGTTGCTGCAAAGTCTTAAAGTACTGTTTTTTTTTTAACTTTATAATACAATTAATTTGTTCTATAAGTAAGTCCACAATGTAAATTAAAAAATTATAATATTTAAAGTAAAAAAGAAGAAGACAAAAGTTGATAATTTAGAGGGTAAAATGAGTATTTGGCAATCAAAAGTTTGAAAAATCTAGTTGAGTGATCTTTTGATTGCTATCGGCATAATTAAATGACTTTTCTGTTACAAACGAAAGAAAAATGACTTTAGTAGATAATTTCAAGTAGTTGGGNTCGTTCGATGGGTCATCGCTTTCATCCGACGGGCAGGGAAGTGCTCAAGTATCTAGTAGGGTTTGTGAGAGACGAGCCACTTCCCTTTCAGAATGAACTCATGCAAGTGGCGGATCTCTACGCCGACAAGGAGCCATGGCAGATTTTCGAAGCTTATGATAGGGGAAACAACAACAACAACAACACTCGTTACTTCATAACTCCGCAAAAGAAAGAGAAACCTACGTGGAAAAGAGTTTCAAGAACTGTTGGGAAGGGCACTTGGAAGCTTCAAAACAAAGGTCGAGATGTGTTTGATAATAAAGGGAGACTCATGGGCTACGTGAAAAGTTTGAAGTACATCCCCACTAATAAATCGTCAAACAACGTGAATGGCGAGTGGTTGATGACTGAGTACTCTTTGTTTGATCGTTATCTGGTTGCTAGGGAGACTAAGAACAAAGGTTTCGTAATTTGTAAGATCAAGAAGAAGGGCAAACCTGGTGACAAGAAAAATGGAAACAATATTGAGGAGGTAGTTAATGATGAGAAGATGAGAGAAATTGAAGAATTTATCAAGTCCGTGCTGCAAGAAGATGTTCAAGTTGAAGACAATGGAATAAGATCGAGTGGTACTATAGCAAAGGATGATCAAGAGAATAATATTATCCAATACGTAGAGGAAGATCAAGTTAGAGACCATGTACTTGGTTTGTTGGGCTCCCCAGAGGATATTGTTAATGGCGTGGATGATGAGAATGTTCAATATTGCGTAGATCAGGGAGATGAAGGCCAAGTCCATTTACTTGAAGAATATATTGATTCCGTTATGCAATCAGAAGATGTTCAAGCTGAAGACAATAGAATAATAATGTCGAATGATATTATAGCAAAGGATGATCAAGAGAATATGGAATACCAAGTCGAAGACCATCAACATGCTACTTTGTGGGCTTCCCCGGAAGATGTCGATCTCGATACTATCAATTTCTGTTAGTCAGAGGATATATTTGCTAGATAATATATGTAGTTTAATCCCAAGCTAGCTCTTAGATAAAGTTACAAACCTGTACTACAATACTATGATTTATTAATATATTTTGAATTTTTCTTATGTTTCTGTAATAGTTTTTACTAGCTAGGGATATATGGTCGAACATATTAAAGATGGCCATTGATAGTTTATGTAGTACTCCTAAAAATTAATACTACTGAATGTTCTACCAAAATTTTGGGCGTTCTTGTTTTCGCTTATTATATAAAAGATGGCCTGAGTGTTTAGTTTTCGAGATTATGTGCTAGCTCATTTTTGGAAGTAGTACTAGCTAGTATTAATTGTAATTAAGTATGCCCTAGCTCTTAAACAATCTTTAGGGTTATTAATTTTTTATGAGGGGCCTTAATTATTTTTTAAATTATTATTTTTTTAATTTGAAGTCCATTTTTTTAGTTTTTCTTTTAGATGCAAAGTGATTAATAATTTTTTTATAATTAATTTTTTTATAATAATTCTTTCTCAATTGACAATATAGTTAATTTATTTAATCTCTCTTTAGATATTATTGAGCTTAGTTAACATTTTATCAATTTTAATTTTGAAAAACTTCTTTCTGCTGAAGCAACGGTAACAGGAGTTATTAACATTATTCTATAAGCAATAAAGACATTTGGAAAAGAATCAAATCTTTTTATTTGATTGAGTACATCAATTAAACTATTATCTTCTAAAAGGGCAGCCCGGTGCACTAAGCTCCGCTATGCGCGAGGTCCGGGGAAGTGCCAGACTACAAGGATCTATTGTACGCAACCTTACCCTACATTTTTGCAAGAGACTGTTTCCACGGCTCGAACCCATGACCTCCTGGTCACATGGCATCAACTTTACCAGTTACGCCAAGGCTCCCCTTCAAAACTATTATCTTCTAATTGTACTATTTTTCTTAACACTTTTAATTCAGAAAATAAATCTAAACCATCAATATCGAATCGATTATTATGCATTAAGGAACACTCAAGATTAAGGCAGTATTATTTCCAAATTTTCATTATCTAGTGATCTCAGTTTTTTACGCTAAATAGAAAACAAAAAATATTTTCATATGCTTCGAATTGTTCAAATTTATTTTGAAGTGAAAAAATAGTCTTGTCTACTATGTATAAATAGTAATTAATACCCCTTAAAATTTTAAAACACAAGTTTTAGAAGTATTTTTTTTTCATTGAATTCGTGCTTTCTATATTTTTCATTGAATTCAGATGAGTATCATATGATCTCATCATCAGGGTGTTCAAGCAAATTTGATTTTATTGGGAATAAACTCCCTACATAAATAATATTCATAGTAATAAAAGCGGAATAATAATGTAGCATCGAGATACGCTAATTAACAAGAATAAAAGAGTGACAACGACACAAAAATTTTTACGTGGAAAACCCTTTTGAATAAGGGAAAAACCACGGCCCCGAGACGAGCAACTGATATCACTATAGCAAGGAATTTTACACTTTGTAGGTCCGAGTAAAATACTCCAAAGACCACTACAATACTCAAAAGAAATAACCCTCTTTTGATATTCCCAACTCACTACAATATCACTTACTCTCTATTATTCTCACCGACTATTTTCTTATACCTTGTCTATGAAACCTCACTCTTTCTTTCTCTCTTTGTTGGTGCGTAGAAATGAGAGCCGAAACTCTCCTTTTATAGCCGAAGTCTCACTCTCTAAAGCCTATTATATTTGACAATTTACACACATTTTTCCTTCTTTTTCTTCAATGTTGACAATTCAACAAAGTTGGCTACCAAACCAAAAGTTTTCTCAGCCAAATATTTTTCTTAGGCACATGTCTATTACTTTGGCTTTTGAATGAGATGGACCAATCAGGTTTGACATCACTGACATTCTGCTAAAGTAAATTAAATATGAATCTATTAATTTCCTTTTCTCATAGTCATGATATGTGTGTATAAGTGGAAAATCAACCACCAACAATGTGGTGGAACGTGGATGTCATCCTCTGCTCTTGACCGAAGGTCTTGGGTGTTTTGAGAAATTTCTGATATGTTGAGCTCATGGGCGGAGCTAGGGTGGCGAAAGGAATAACCTGGCAGAAAATTACATTATGTATATAAGGTTAAAATTTGATGTAAATAGTGTTACTTTTATGTTTTTCGCATTTATCAATGTACTACTCTTTGAAGATTCGGATATCATATTTTGCTACCGAGAAATGTAATTTCTTTTGGTTTGCTTAATAATGTAAACATTTTAGATTTAGAACTATTTTATTCTTTCAAAATTCTTCTGTTGTGTCTCAGGCAAACACATCTCACAGAATTTGATCGATTTCACAAGGTTATTCTTTCTTGTTGCGAACATACATAAGGAGGTTGCAGAATCCTTTCATTCTCCGATTTTAGAATAACTAATACTAAGTGACACCTTAATGAATCTTTCGTCCAATATATTTCAGAAGATATTTCATCTCTGAAGCTCAATAAAGACATCAGTCTAATTTAATCCAATTATATATTTAATTTGTGACACAACATCTGTTAGGGATGGCAGGATTAAGTTGATGAATTGAGAAACTTAGTACAGGAAATTTTTTTCTCACCAATCATTTATCATGCTAATCAAACTGATTTAAGCATGCACATTGGATTGTACAAGCAGTACAATTAATTATAATTTACAATTGGTTTCGGTAGAATTACCAAAAAAATAAAAGCAAAGAGTAATTTTTACTATATTCTCGTGTCTCAATATTGTACTCCCTCCGGTCACTTTTACTTGACACGTTTTGACTTTTAATGCCCCTTAAGAAATAATAAATGAAGTGCATAATTTACCATATTACCCATATTAATTGATGCATATTTTATTCACTACTAGAAATTCGCTAAAAACCGACCAAAAAAACTGACCAACGTTGGTCGGTTATGGCAAATTACCGAACAAAACGTGACCATTACGGTGTGGACGGTGTTTTGATGGTCGGAATGGCTTACCGACCAAAGTTAGTCGGAAATTACCGACCAACTTTGGTCGGTATATATCCGACCAACTTTGANNTGTTGAATTCTGGGAATTCAATGTTCATTAACCGACCAACTTTGGTCGGTATTTTGGAATAATTTATTTTTTTTTATTAAAAACCGACCAACTTTGGTCGGTTTTTCTGGGTTTAATTTTGGCATAAAATGTCTGTTTTGGCAGTTACACCACCTGCCAGCATTCCAATACAACACAACAACAACAACAACAACAACAACAACAACAACAACAACAACAACAACAACAACAACAACAACAACAACACAACAACAACAACCAAAACATTCAATAAATACTTTAAAACTAACAAATTAAAGTTCAATTGAACATAAAAATCCAAAACCAAGTTAAAACTAATTACAACTAGTTCAAAACTGGTTCTATTTGTCTAGTTCAAAGTATATAAAAGTCAAGGAGTGTTTTCTACAACATCATCATCACCGTCTGATGAATTTTTATTTACAAGACGATATAGAGAACGGTCTTGTGGAGGACGGGAAGCACGATCTCGGGGAGGACAGGAGGAACGATCACGAGCAGGACGGGAGGAACGATCACGTGGAGGTCGACCTTCTGGAGATGACTCACGAGATCGGGGCAACGGAAAAGCTCCACTAGATAGGAGAGTTCTAATCTGAGCTTGCATGCCAAGGAATTGAGCATCTCTAAGCCTTTCTCTTTCCTTGGCCGCTTCTAGCTCTGATGTGAGCTTTGTCACTGTCTCCCGCATAGCGGAGAGGCTCTCCTTATTAAGTTGCTCGCCTTGCGATGAAGTCCCTATTCCTCACATTCCATACTTATAGCGATGGAAGTTTTTAGTAGGAAGCCCGTATACCTTCCCTCATTTTGGACCGCCAACAGACTCCAACCATATTCTTTCAGCATCCTCATCCGAAGGTTGGGTTGGCTCACCCGATTTACCAGCTGGATGACTACAGATGAATTCCTCTACGTTACTTTGGTAGCGACCCTATATTATTTTAAATTAAATCAGTATTTCAAAAGTTTTATAAAAGTAAATTATAATACTTAAAGAAAATTAAAAGTTTACATATGTAGTCGAGGCCCGGTCCTCGACCCACCTATCTTGATCCCCCTCTTTCTTCTTCT